GCTTTAATCTGCTGTACCGTACCATACCGCCTTCGGCCGTACAGCAGCCCCACCATATATATGTGTATATATATATATATATATATATATAAACACACACATACAAATACATCCTCAAACTGATTACTTTACAGGTTTACAAAAGACTACAGTTTCTGGGAACACGAATCCCTAAATTTGACTTTGGATTCAAAACAGCCCGCACTGCTTCTTGAAAAACCTACAAAAAAAAACAAACAAAGTGAGTGAACAAGATTAGAAAGAAAAACAGTGTAAGCATTAAAAATCAGTGGAAAAATTTGAAATATGTTTATCTGTACAGTAAAACCATGATTATAATCTTGATAAATAACTGAAAAAGTATATTTTGAAAACATCCAGAGAAAAAGAAGATAAAAATCAGTTAACCATACAAAACCTAGTATTTAAAAGAGAGAGGTTAAGCATAAAATAAGTACTTTAAAGTGTAAATTTTACTTTTCTAAATTGTACTCCTTGTAGAACACAATAATGTCTTATTTTTATATGGATCAATGGCGGAAAGTTGTTTATATTTGTATATAAATTACTTAAAATACACTTTGAAGTAAACTAAATTTCTAGTTTGTCATTCAGTGTCTTTTCAGCTAATTAAAAGTAGAATAAAATATGAATAGTTGGCTACTTTAAGCAACAATGCTCATATTAATGTCCATCTTCACCTTACATCTTGTCTCAAATTTAACTAAATACAAAGGATAAGAGAAACAACAGTCATTTTAGTTTGATTCATGCTGTTGGCAAAGTGTTGGAATCTGTTGTCAAACATCATTTAGAAAAGCATTCAGAAGTATATAATCCAATTAATTAGCATGATCTCAAAAAAGTGTTTTCTTACCCTATCATTTTGTTGGACTGTTTAGAAGAAGGCAACATACTTGATCTTTGTATACCTTGACTTTTAGGATGTTTCTCTCAAAAAATTAGTTTGCAAGTTTGATGGTTATGGTGGAAGAAGAATAAGAAGCAGTTTTAAAATTGGCTTAATAGCAGAAAGCAACTATTTGAAGTTTCTCAGAGATCTGTTCTATGATATGTGTTGTTCATTATTCATATTAGTGAACTGGATATTTCTAGACTGTAATGTTATGCTTAAGAAACTAATTTTAGGTTGTAAAGAACTGAATCTCTTGTCCAAAGGGGTTTTGACAATATTAGTGAATGGGCCAGAACATGGTGAAGTTTAATATTGATAAAAAAAAAGTATGCACTTGGAAAGGAACTTACTTCTTGTGAGAGAGGAGCATTATAGCTGTTATAAAAAGAAGATTTAAATATTACTGTTAATAAAACACTAGAGCCCCACTGATGAGTAGTAATTTGTGGTAAAAAGAGTATATAAACTTTTGGTTCTAAGGATTTTGATTTACAAAATGAGGTAGAATACTCTTGCAAGACCTAATTGGAGTAGCATGTGTAGTCTTGGTCTCCTTATTCAGACTGATGTTAGCAAGTTGGAAAGAGTGCAGAGATAGGCTTTGTGAGGATGTTGGATTTATTTTATCTGTAACAAAAAATTGTGTGCGTGTGATGGTGGGGGACTTGGTCCAGGTGTTAAAAATATTAGATGGTTGGACAGATAGTCTTAACACAAGTGATGGAATGAAACTTTGAAATACTAACCTAAGTATTAGGGATAAGAAGTTTTGGAAACCTAGAATCAAACTTGTCTTTCACAGTTATTTTTTGGAATGGTTTGTCTAATGCTGTTGTTTGTAATGTTGACTTATTTTAAATTTTTGATGCATAGGTATGGATATGTAAAAGAATATATTAGGTTGAATTAAAAGAAACATTTTTTTTTCTTCTGTGGAAGAGGGTTATTCAAATGGCTTTCTGTAATTTCTTACATTTCCTTCTTTGTATATGGCTGACATGTTTATTTCAGTTTAAAAGCAAATTGGTTTTTCACTGGTTTAAATAACAAATGTTTCTTTTGGAAGCAAATGTTGAAAAATAAGTAGCAGTGGAGTAATTTGAATTGTTAAAAAAGTACATTAACAGTTTAGAAAAATGTAGTTAAAAATCCAAAAGGGTTTATATTGTTGCATTGGAATTGTAAGGTTTAATTCTAATTTTTACAAAAAAGTACAAAAAGTCATTAAACAGTTTAAGGCAACGTCAATAGGTTATTTTTATTTTATTTTGTTTTCACACATCATAACTGGCAGCTTTTTGGTTGACTAGTACATAGAAATTATCTAAATATTTAGTGTCACTTAAACCACTGATAGCTTTATAATTGGATTCTGCCTTTTTAATTTATAGTTTTAATAAGTGTATTTTGTAGATGTTTATATGTCCCATTATACAATAATTAAATCTTTTTAAACATCTTAAGAAATTTCCCTACTTTTAGCCCTGATATATAATACAATGATGGTAGATATGATTTAAATATAATTTGGAGCCTGCACAATGGATTTTGAAATGACTATTAACAATATATGTAGTTTTCCAATTATGGCAATGGTAAGAATTTGTTAAATACTGATAGTGCTCCTGTTTCAAAAGAATGTAATAAAAATTATATTTATTACTATGTTGCTGTTTCATATGAAAAAAATCATAAACTTTATATCCTTTAATAAAACAAACAAATACCTCATTTATTCCTTCCATAGTTTTTGCTGAACACTCAACATATTTCTCTGCTTTAATCTTTGTAGCCATTTTACGTCCCATATTTTTTGACACTAAATGTATACCCTCTGGAAGATCTTTGCTGTTTCGTAAGTCTGTCTTGGTTCCTAGATGAAATGGGTTAAGTTCCACTGTGAAATTCTAAATATTTATACATTTTGGTTTTATTTAAAACACCATTTAAAATGTTCAGTTGATACCCAATTGTTAAGGGATTTGATGATCCACAATTTTTTAACGATATTTTCAAAAATGTCTTCACTGTTTTAAATAACTGGTAATATAAAATACCACTGGTCATCAACATAATTATACTGTTGTAAGCTAAATTGTTAATATTGTCATTTGCTTGTAAGCTAGAGGGAGCTGTGAGCTATAATGATGACATTCAGATAGACAGGTTTAATAATATAGGCCTAAAAAGTTCTAATGATGTGATGTCAAGTTTTCTAGTAAATTCAAGGATGGATTATATACACAAGGTTCAGATAAAATAGCTAAGCAGATAAAGAGTTGTTTCTAACCAATAAAGTGAATTACTCAGTGTGTTTTTATTGAAGTATCTGGGTATATTTTAGATACTGTGCACAGAGTTATTTTGTATAAATGTTTTTTTTTTTCATGTTAGTGTAGTACAGCTAGTGTGACTATAAACGTGGTCTACAACTCATCATACCATGGACAAGACACTATCCTATCTATATATCATGGTTCTTGGAAGAGCAAGACAACAAAAAGAGTTTGTGAATGGACAATTTAGTGTAGTGTTTTATTTTTTGTACTAGGATTATTCAGGAGACTTCATAATCCAGGAAAGGGGCAGTGTTATAGCCTATATATATAATTTTATAATTTGTTATCTAGCCAGAACTGCGGGTCATAAATGATGACATTAAGTAGTCTGGCTATAAAGTTCTAAGATTCTAAGATTTGATGCCAAGTTTTTAGGAATGTTAAAGAATAAAATGAAATAACTTTGGACATTGAATTATTTTCCAATAATTTAAAATAACTCATCAGCAAAAGAAATACACTGCAACAATATTTTCATTTATAAAAACTGCAGGGTTTTGCCTTTGAACAAAACAAACCAGTTGTCAATTTTCTTTTAGAATTTTTCTTCCTATTACAAAGAATAATTTTATTTTTGCTAAAAACCTATCACCCCAGGAGAATATATTATCCTTTTCTTGATTGTCAAGCAAATCTCTTAGTTTTTGTACAGACTTTGGTTGCAATCTTGTCATGTTGCCATGTCAAATGGTTTGATCATTTACTAAAGAATCACAGCTTTGAAAACAGCTATAAAGAAAGTTTAAACGTGGTTGGATAGAGCATGTCAGAAGTCACATTCCAGACATGAGTGTCAGCAATAGGGGTGATCTAGTATGAAGGAAGCCACAGGAATTCGATGGGAAGCATATAGAGTACAATTTGAGCTCCTGGCAGAGATGAATGGATGGACAGAGGAGCAGAAAGCAGTATATATGGCAACAAGCCTGAAGGGACAACCACTGTAAATACTTGGACAGTTGTCAGCAGACGACAGGCACAACTATAGAGCACTGGTAGCTGCTCTAAAGCTCAGGTATGGAACTCAAAATCAGTCCGAAGTCTACAGGGCTAGGTTTAGGACTAGAGTCCGTGCTAAAGGGGAGAGCCTGCAAGAGCTGGCACAAGACTTGGAAAGTATGGCACACAAGGCCTACCCAACTGTGCCACCAGATATTCTCAAGTTGTTGCTGAGGGATCAGTTTGTAGATGCCTTGGACAGTCCATATTCAAATTCAAGAGCTCTGGCCATTGCATCCTGCATGGTAGAGGGGTGTGCTTGCTTCACTTGTATCTTCAGTTCCCTACATTAAGTCCAGCACAGAGATACCAAGGTTGGTACAGTCATCAGGATTCAAGGCCAGAAAAGGGCAGCTTTCAGAGAAGTTTGAGGGACTTTGCTGGCACTGTAATAAACCTGGGCACAAGAGAGCTCAATGCTGGCAACTTCAACACAGGGGAGGCGCCACAGTAGGAAAGGTTGGTATCCAGAAAGGTTGTTGGAACTGTGGAAAGCACGGTCATTTGAGGAGCCAGTGTAGGAGGAATATTACCAACAGGTCAGCCTCGAGGAGACCAGTAGTGGTTGGTGTTGAGCGACGCCCACCAACCCCCATCATGAAAGTCCCAACCTCTAGGTG